AACAACAAAAATTCGTCAACTAAGTACACTGATCGATCCGATCAATGTATATCAAAACTAGTAGACAGAAATCGATCCGATCTCTGTTGACAATAAGCTCCGATTAAGCTTATAAAACACTGATGGGACGCGTAAAATGTACTGCAAAAGTCTTTAAGCAATACAACAGGTTAAAACGCACGAGGCCTCCAGATTTAGTAACTCAGTAACGATTTACTTTCCTTCTAAGATTAGTAGTCCGACAAAGAATAGACGCGTATTCAGAGAGTGAATTTAAGAACTCCCGACTAATATAAATCCATAGTCATCAAAATCCCCCTTCCTCTAAAGTCAACAAACTACGTGGCCAATTCCACGAATCTCCCCTGCCGCTCTCACTACCGAGATCTCACTACCGAGATCAAATTACTAAAGTACACAAGAAACTTAACACCTTCCACGGAGCGGGCTTGCAGGTCCCGAGTCTAAATAGCTTGCACGAAAACAGAATTGTGGCGGCAGGGGAAGCCACGTGACATAAGGTCACGTGACTGGAGTAAGATACAGGTTCTGGGAAGCATGGTACAACAATTGCCCAAAGATAGAACTAATCGGTATGAAACTCGATTAAGTGATAATTTAGAACACTGCTCAAGAGCATTCTTGGGTGAAACATCTCCTATGTTTAACCCCAACACGGCAGCTAAGTCCAAGAAAAACTGTTCTTGTCCTGGCTGCTTCTTCTTTTGCTGCACCATATTGATATGCTAGCTAAGAGAGTGTAAATGAGTTTGAAATGAATATTGAATGAATGAGTTTGAATGAATATTGATATGCTAGCTAAGAGAGTGTAAATGAGTTTGAAATGAATTTGGTTTTGGACAATCTGAATCATCAACACAACACCAAGAAGCATACACAAAAATCAAATGTGCATGTGTGTACAAACAATTTTGTTCAAAATTTATAAAAAAATGGTGGTCGGTAATGGACTGTCGGTAATCGTCCGACTGACGGACTGACAATACAAGGGCTAAATCAATATACTATTGTACAAACAGCTAACCACACATTTGGTTTTGGACAATCATCAACACAACACCAAGAAGCATACACAAAAATCAAATGTGCATGTGTGTACAAACAATTTTGTTCAAAATTTATAAAAAAATGGTGGTCGGTAATGGACTGTCGGTAATCGTCCGACTGACGGACTGACAACACAAGAGCTAAATCAATATACTATTGTACAAACAGCTAACCACACATTTGGTTTTGGACAATCATCAACACAACACCAAGAAGCATACACAAAAATCAAATGTGCATGTGTGTACAAACAATTTTGTTCAAAATTTATAAAAAAATGGTGGTCGGTAATGGACTGTCGGTAATCGTCCGACTGACGGACTGACAATACAAGGGCTAAATCAATATACTATTGTACAAACAGCTAACCACACATTTGGTTTTGGACAATCATCAACACAACACCAAGAAGCATACACAAAAATCAAATGTGCATGTGTGTACAAACAATTTTGTTCAAAATTTATAAAAAAATGGTGGTCGGTAATGGACTGTCGGTAATCGTCCGACTGACGGACTGACAATACAAGGGCTAAATCAATATACTATTGTACAAACAGCTAACCACACATTTGGTTTTGGACAATCATCAACACAACACCAAGAAGCATACACAAAAATCAAATGTGCATGTGTGTACAAACAATTTTGTTCAAAATTTATAAAAAAATGGTGGTCGGTAATGGACTGTCGGTAATCGTCCGACTGACGGACTGACAATACAAGGGCTAAATCAATATACTATTGTACAAACAGCTAACCACACATTTGGTTTTGGACAATCATCAACACAACACCAAGAAGCATACACAAAAATCAAATGTGCATGTGTGTACAAACAATTTTGTTCAAAATTTATAAAAAAATGGTGGTCGGTAATGGACTGTCGGTAATCGTCCGACTGACGGACTGACAATACAAGGGCTAAATCAATATACTATTGTACAAACAGCTAACCACACATTTGGTTTTGGACAATCATCAACACAACACCAAGAAGCATACACAAAAATCAAATGTGCATGTGTGTACAAACAATTTTGTTCAAAATTTATAAAAAAATGGTGGTCGGTAATGGACTGTCGGTAATCGTCCGACTGACGGACTGACAACACAAGAGCTAAATCAATATACTATTGTACAAACAGCTAACCACACATTTGGTTTTGGACAATCATCAACACAACACCAAGAAGCATACACAAAAATCAAATGTGCATGTGTGTACAAACAATTTTGTTCAAAATTTATAAAAAAATGGTGGTCGGTAATGGACTGTCGGTAATCGTCCGACTGACGGACTGACAATACAAGGGCTAAATCAATATACTATTGTACAAACACCGACTGACACAAAGATTCATTTTTTAGTTCTGTATATTAGAATAAAACAACATGGTTTATGTTTGAAGTTTATCTCCTTGCTGCACACCACGCAAAGCGACCACAGCGAGCACAGCGCGCTGTGCTCGCTTACTCTCTCTTTCTTTTTTAAGCCTCAATTCCTTTCTTAGAGGATCTTTATTAGCCTTTTCACGGCTCTTCCTGGCGTATTCCCTCTCTTTTTCTGCATTTCTTTGCCTCTTTCGTTTCTTGGCAGGTGTGGGGACCAGCGGTATCAGGGTCACAGGATTTGGTGGTACTGATTCTCCATCTGAGACCTGTGTGGTGACTGACACGGATTGTGCTGTGACAGTTTGGGTGGCAACTGTGTGTGTCTTGACTGTTGCTGTGAGGACTGTCCTGTAATTTTAAGAATTGAGTTGTGTGCATATGCATGATTGATAATGACTTGGCTAGGAATAATATCTTTTTCAGTACGAAAACTTAGTGTTCTGCAGCTAATTTAACATGTATCTTTGAATAAAAATCTGACCTTTCTTCTATTTCAAATCGTGATATTAAATTGGTTCTGACTCTTTCTAGTTTCCTATTATATGTTTGCGATTTTCTACATCGTTGTGACATGCTTTAGAAAAATTCTAATTAAATTATGCACAAATCATTTTATAACTTTAAATTGCTATCAACGATGTTTACTTATTATATTTTATACTGCAGTAAAAATCTTTTGGCAATAATCGGTACTTGTGCTTACATCAATAGTTATTCTAACTGTTCAAAGACTAGTTTAATACTCTAAGATTTTATTGGATCGTGACCTTAAGTAGGACAATTATGCAGCATATAATAATGTTTGCTCACATTTTAGTTTGAGCAGCCTTCACACACTGCAAAAAAGCAGCCCGTCCCTGCATATTGTGTTACTCCTAAACAATTTGTTTGATCAAGAAAGGAAAACAATTAGAAATAAACCATTTCTTGTTTTACTAAGAAAGATACTTTAAAATGATTTGTAAAACAGAACACAACTACATATAAAAGTAGCAGAGTAGTTGAGATTCAGGAATACAATTAAGACTAATCTGGAACATGCTTTTGGGGCAATAATTATGTCTGGGCTGACTTGAAATAGATATGGTGTACTCAAATGTTCAGCCACTCAGAAGTGCCTAATGGTCCCCTTGATCATGATATTTTGGGGTAATTGGAGACCTGTCAAGGATTGCATCCCAGGTTGGTAGCACAATAAGAAACAACTTGTAAAATAACATTTTATTAAAAATAATTTAAGGGTCTTCTGCTGTTTCTGACACATCTGCGATCTTTGCAATTGCCGCACGTGCCTTTGCCACCTGCCACTCTACCTCATCCGCACTTGCAGGTATGCATTGATCCATAATTGATCTATATGGAATAAGAAATGAGTTACACTTGAAACTGTAAAAGGCCTATTTTAGCATTCAAACTATAGTACTCAATCTCAATATATTGTACCAATTTCAGATTATCTTGTCCAATGTCAGAGAAAACAAGAGCTGTGGACATTCTTAACCCAATTACAACTCTTGCTGCATTTGCAGTTTGAAACCAGATCAAAACCAGATATGCTCATTCAGAGCAGACCAGCATCATAATCGACCAAACCATTCATAACTTTTATGGTCTCAACAAGATCGGTACAACTTCAAATAAGTCGGTAAATAAACTGTACTCCGCCATTGAACACTACTTTAAATGTCATCTCATCAGAGCTATGTAAATAAAATTATTCAAACAATATACACATAATATAGCAATGACCCTATATAAAATCTACCCTTTAAGAATTAAAAAAGTTTCCTAAAAAATCAAAAATTACCCTTGGCCTTGTGGCTCCAAGCTATGTAGACAGCTACCGTCACAGATAAGCAAAATCCCGAAAGTCAACAATGTGCATTGTGCAGGACCGGGTGGAACAATAAATTAATCACCACCTTGCCCAGCCAACAATAAAAAGATTTGGTCAACTGCCCAACGCAATTTGTTTCAGTTATGAACATGATTAGCGACATGAGTATTATACCCAACAATGACCGGCGAACTGATAGCTACTTCAGAAGCAATGAAACTACGATCTTCTAAATAAGAAGAATATTCGAAGGTTTACACGCTAGCGCTCGATTCTAAGATTCAATATTTTAAATAAATTGTTTTGGGAAATTTTTACAGTTCGCGCGCGCGTTTTTACTTTTTTTGCGACGCGCAACACGCCGTTTTCATTTCATTAGCGAACACTTTTTCGAATTTTTAAGAAACTTTCTACATCTATAGCAGCTTGTGGAATAATTACTGTCGAATTTCATTAAAATCATGAGTACATCTTCGCGAGAGGAATTTGGGGATATAAAAATATTTCATATCCGCGGAAGTCAAAATTTTTGGATTACCACCTACTTATCATATTTAAGATTTATTATATGTTTCATCGCCCCACTAATATTGAATTCTATATATTATTAGATTCTATTATAAAGAATTCTCTTATGGTTTGAATATTTGAAATACCAATCACACAATACACAGACCTAGAAATTACAATATATTCGCAGGAGAGGAAGCTGATCTAGTGGTATGTGACGGAGCACCTGATGTGACAGGACTCCACGATATCGACGAGTTTATTCAGGCCCAGCTGCTCCTGGCTGCTCTCAACATTACCACTCACGTATTGAAGCTGGGTGGCACTTTCGTTGCTAAGGTAACCAAGTTTTAATTACAAATTCATATGGCATTGTATTAGTGTCATATAGCGAGGGAGGTAGTTATCAGGGCCAATGATATGATGTGATGTTATATTCTGTGTTATATATCCCAAATCGTTTGTCCCAATGACATACGCTCTTAACAACATAAGATGAGTACATGAGCTGTAAATGATTAATTTAGCGTCTCTTACTTAGATCGAATACAGTTCCTGAATTTCTCTTTCAATATTTATAAACAGAGGTAGCCGCTGGAATTCTGTAAGACAACAATTTCAGGAGTGAAACAACAAAAGAGACAAACTTTCAAATTGCAAAATTCTAATATTAACCAGAAATAAGAAGATTCAAATTAGTCTTCTTCTATGGTGGCCGGTTTTTAGATTAAAATCAGGCTGAAGGATTTTCAGCCGAAACTCTTGATAGCTTTATTTTATTTACTAGTCAAAATACTCAATTGCCCCATAAGTAAAATATCGTAGCATATGCCTGAATTCATCATAGTACACCTTCCTGATGCAATGGTTGCTGAGTAGGGGATATATCAGCTTTGTACTCGGTACCAACAATGACAGCTGTTATCTTGGATCTTCCCGGTAGTTGCACCCATGCATTGATGCTATCCGTGTGGGTCTTTGTGGTGGTGCTTCCAGTTTCAAATGTGAAGGTGGTCGAAGCGCTAACTGTTGTCTTTGCACCTGCTCCTATGATAGGTACTTTTGCCTCGATCTCCACTGCTATGTGGAGGAGCTCATCACAGCAACCAACAATTTAGAAACAATCACTGCCAAACCCAAACAATCGCTGTTAGCAAAACAAACGTCTTTCGAATGTTGAAAACTTCATAAGTAGTATTGATATTTGATAGTATTGATATTTGATAGTGAAAATAACGAATAATAGAGTAGTTCAAAAGATGAAAAGCTTTCGCTGAAATATTGCTCACTGCGCTCCCTTCTTTAATCCTTCCTCAATTTATCACAAATGATATGATAAACCCACCTGAATTTCAGATTTTTAGAGGGAAGGATGTAGCATTACTGTTCAGTCAGCTGAGAATATTCTTTGAGGATGTCAAGTGTTGTAAGCCTCGATCGAGTAGAAACTCCAGTATTGAGGCATTCGTCGTCTGCAGAGGTAAAGCTAATTTTATTATTGATTTTAAGTGGACAAATTATAAAATATGATATAAAATGTTTCCCAAATATATATTTTGATTAATTACCACTAATTAAACCCTATTTATCAGGCTACAATCCTCCGGAGGGGTACATTCCCTCCATGATAAATCCCTCACACTCAGGTACATATGGCTCCGTCAAACAGGAGGTGAAGTCTTATGGTTTTGTTCTTTCACAGACGATCTCTTTATTTTTACGGTTCTTGTGCCCGAGCTTCTTTCCGTTTCTGTTTACCAACCATCCTCTCTGACTCAGGAATATCATTATCAACGAAGACGGTGACAGACTCCAAGCAGGAACCCCCGGCTTTCCACAGCCCTCATTTCTTCCGTAGACGAACCAGCTGCAGCTTTCACAGTCCATAGCCCAAGACCTTGACACACAGTCCCAATGTAGGTGTAGGCGTTCTTTGTCGTAGGTCAAAAATGGAGGGTCTCCGGATACCTGTAGGATTGAGATAGTCAGACCGAAAGTTTGGATGGACTGTCTTTGAAATAATTAACTAAGATGTACCTTGAACTTGGGAACAACAAAATTAATATTTTGCGTAATTTACAAACATGTAAAAAAAGACACACTGGAAAACTAAATTTTATTATGGTGGCCTCTCTGTCTCTCCAACTAACTCACTGCTAGAACTTACCGCACAAGTCCACATCTACATCTATGTAGGAGTATTTCAACCACGGGGTTTAGTGTTGTATAGCTGGAGAAGTGAAGCTTGGAGTTTCAGTTGGTGTGATACCGGTGCAATATGGTACAAAGCAGGGAGAGGGAGAGATTTCTTTGACTACGACAGCAGCTAGAATTTTACTAACATTGGTGTCATGCAAGTTTCACAGCCTCGCAAGTATACCCCCACCATCAGCACAAGACAGACTTTATCAGTATTGCCATTTCCTACAATCACGTCGTGTCTGTACCACCCAACCTCAGGCTCTGGAATCCTATAGCATTACATTCGGAGATCAGTTGTTCATCACCTTCGTCCATGTCATCTCGGTAAGACTGGCCATGATCGAATTCCCTCTTCCAAATCTCTGGTTCTCATCTTGCCACATCTTCCTTTGTTCATGACCATTCAATCCGAACTTGTCGTTCCTGCAGGCATCGTCCCTTCATCAGGCACTCGTGAATTGTCCTCACAATAGTTAGAGCAAACAAAGTCACTGGCGAACATGTCCCGCTCTATCACAGTATGAAGGACACTCACAGGATTGTCCGTGTCCGAAGCGAGTTCCCCCGACACACTGTTTACTCCCCGGGGCAGGTCACTCCCTCAACACAGATCCAGTACCAGTCAGATAGGCGTCCACTTCATCACAGCCTTGTCTGTTGCAGTGCAAGACATGTGTACCAGCCTCATTATGTTTCGTCCCCACATTGTTGATTGTGATAGAGTTGATGGTCCGTCTGACTGACATGACCGCTGCTGAAAGCATTGAAGGATCCAGTTGGGTCCTGGACAGCTGGTCCTTTCCTGGAAAGGGTAATCTGAGGGGTCATGCGCCTTTGCTTCACAAACAAAACTACCAGATCCACCAGGAGCAACAGTAATATTGACCTGGATCGATGGTGATGACTGGGGGCTGTTTCACCACTTCAGGGTTCTACGGTGGGTTCGGCTTCTGGCCTCTGTAGTATAACAGGGTAGGTTGGAGAAGGTATCATCCAGCCTCAGTAGTCTGTTGTAGGGGACGAATAGGAGTCTCCAGTGGGACAGCGTTTCTCACTGGTGTATACATATGTAGTGGGGTAACTCTTCTTCCTTTGTGGTCGCTCAGTCTCGGCTCTAGTATCAGAGTGAAGACAGGACCATTACTTGGGCTAAAGTTGAGTTCAATCGAGAATAAGCTCCACAAAAGCGTTTTTAGCATCCTCGTCAATCAGTCCGAACTCAGAGCGATCTCGTAGTTCACCAGGTATTTCATTCCCCCGAAAGATCAGGCTTTTTTCTTGAGTCATCTCGTACTCGAAAGAGAGGGCAGCAACAGAAAGGGAGAGAAGTAAAACTAATACTCGTATAGTCATGTTGACTTCACATAAATACTATCGAGCAGTAAAATAATGGGGTAAACTAGTGCAAAACAAACAATCGATAGAAAAAGATCGTTAACTGTAGTAACGTGCAGGAGGAACATTTTTATACCAAACCAAGACGCCGTGATGCAACTCCCACACCCTCTACACCCAGCTACAAAAATCCGGCAGTCGTGCGTCACGAACCACGAGACTAACACGTGACCACATCAAGCTGACGTAAACAGTAACACCTACTGTTTTATGTGATAAAATTACTCCCATATTTTGCTCTTACAGCCGTAATTCGGTCACGTAAACGACACAACCTCGTACGACCATCTTATCAATACACATTATCCCTGGACTTCTGCCTAACTTTAAACATAATTATATCATAAAATTAATTATTATGTAATATATTAGGATATTATGGGCATAATGAAAATAAATAAGCCTATGTGTTATTATTACAAATGTCCTAAAAATAGGAAACGCGGACGGCCGCCGGACGCGCATTGGTCAAATGGATGAAGACAGTTCTGTTAAACTTGTTAAAATTGAATGGCTCATGTGCGTAAAAATGATGGATGACTATCTTTGTTTTGTAACGCCATTACTCACCCAATACAAGAAACCGATGGATCCATGGTACCTTCGTTACCCCTATTAATATTAATGTAAAAAGCCTTTCTTCAAAACTGTTTTCAGATCCTTTTTATTTAGACTACTAACGAATCATAATACATGAGACTGTTATCGTCTTAAAGCAGGAATACCGACCACCAAATAATCCAGATCCTAAACCTACAATCTGCAGCGTCAATATTCGTCTAAATCTAGTTTCACGTTGTCCAACGATTGATTTCTGTGGAATTACAAAGGACTTACCATAGTTACCATAGTAACCACTAATAGTTCCATAGTTACCTGTTAGTTACAAAGGATCTTACCTCGTTAATGGTTCGTTCCCAGCTAGCGCCGTAGAGAGATATCCCGTAACCAAACATCCCCTCGTGAGTAGACTCCTATCTGAAAACAAGGCAGAAGTAAGAATAGAAAGTAGGAAGTTAGCGAAGGAGGAATATTATTAAATTATATATATTCTGCCACCAGCTCCACTAAGATGAAGGTGCGGTAGAGCAATTTCTTGACTTTATTCCTTGTTACTCAGTATGTGGATAACTCTAAGCAGAAGGGGGAACTGTGAAACACAATTAAACTGACGATATTTCTAGAGGAAGGGTTAAAAAACCCTGTTTAATGTTAAGTTTTATTGGATGAACTTGTGTGGTTACAAATTGAAGTGAACCAAGTAACCCCTAGTAAGCCTAGTAAATGTGTTCACTATAACTTGGAGGTGAACCCGGCCCTATAAGTGAACTTTTGTTTGAAATGTAGCAGAATGTCACAGTGGATGAAACCAAAATATTCTTACTGATGAGAGTTTTTACGGGGGTGGGGGGTATTAGAACTGTATTGCAATCTGAAAAAAAATGAGTGAAGGAAATAAACAAGATACAGTGAAATGAGTAGGAATAAACAGATTACAGTTGTGAAATGTAAGACTGATTATGCAAAATCGAAGTGAAAATTGGTATGATAAACTAAAAACAAAAAAATGTTCATAAAATTACATACTCGTAAGCTCTGCAGAGTCCTGAAACCTAAACATACATGATCCATGTCCCTATTAGTAAACCGGTCTGGAAAGTTGAACACCTCGAAATTATTGGCAGCTCCGCCGTACTTTGTACCGCCTCGTGCATTATAGTCCCCATCAGTCCCCTCAGGGCTGGAGAAGATGGAGATTCCCAAACTGGGCACACCTCTCCCCGACCCTTGAATTTTGACTGAGATTATAGTTCTACCAATGCAAATGGTGTTAAAGACATGTGGGCTGAATTACATGGTAAACTGGAGACTGTTGCCGCAGCTGTTCCAACTGCTTTGGTTTATCTCGATAACAGACCTGTAAATTTGCTATGGAGTACATTTGAACTTAAGTTACGAATAAAGATAAAGCGTGGGCTGAGTTTGATATTAATCCATCTGGTGTTAATTTTAGTCATGCAAGTAGCAAGCAACATACATATGAAGTAGCAGAAATTAAAGCTGTAGTTAAATATGAAAAGAAAATTACGTCTAATCTGAAGCAGAATTGTAAATATTTTTACTCAGACTATTTACAAAATAAATGTCAAGTTAAATCAAGTGTGGTTTCTTTAGATAAAGGAGATGGCACAGATAGTTTGAGTCAGCTGAGGTACTTGAAAGTGCCTCTAGCTCTGTTTTTGTGCGTGAACCACCTGGCATTCTCCCTAAAACTGAGAATTTAGGCCCTGATAATGAGAGTATTGATGATATGGAAGTCAGCAGTTCCGATATAAAATAGGAAATTTTAAAGCTTAAGGCCACAGGGGGGGGGGGGGGGTCCGAGGTCGATTTTGAGATTTTGAGATATGTTGTAGAGCTCGATCTAAATTTTCAAATGCTTTTGTCCTTACCGAAAACAAAGTTTCCTATTTGAAGATATCGCGCGTTGAATTTTGAGGTTTACCTGTAATTCTATTGTAAATGAAAACTTTAAATGAAATCGTGTTCAAAATCTATCTTCTTTTTCAGTTTATGACTTAGAACCTTGTAACTTGGCAACAATGTTCTTCAAGGTATTTTGAGTTTTTGTTATGTAACGATTTATGATATCTTGCTCCAAAGCTGAGATATGAGGTTAACCATGAGTGCGGGTTACAAAATTTAAAATGGTTAACCTCATAAAAAGAGTTAGGAGCAAAATTACAACAATCGTTACATAACAAACTTTTAAATTTATGTCAGGAACATAAGTTCAAAATTTGAGGTGAAATGGATAAAAACTCTAGGAGAAGATAGATTTTGAAGTCAAAAATTCGAGGTTTTCAGGAGAGGCAAAAAACTGTTTTTTATGTTATGTGATTTTTGAGAATTTTGCCTTTATTTGTATATTTTTCAAAGTTTAACTGCTGAAATAACACAAAAACAATAAAAACAAAGCTTATCGTAGTTTTCAGTTGTAATGGCATCAATATTTCTGCCCTCCATTATCGATTTATCAAAAAAATGAAGTTAAATGAGAATTGGTTAACCTCATTTATAAAAAAAAGTAAAATAGCTACAGACAAATGAGTGGTGGCAAAGTATCCACCACAAAAATATATATTGATTCAAAGCATAATGTTTTTTTGCATTTTTTGAGGCCTCGACCCCCCCCTGTGGCCTTAACATTTTTAAGAGTTCTGGTCTGGATGGTGTTCATCCAAAGTTGTTGTAATCGCTAGCTTATGACAACGATTTTGTGGAAGCAGTAACTAAATTATTTCAAAAGTGTTCAGATACAGGATCTGCAGTGTGGAAATCTGCATCTGTTGTAGCATTGTTTAAAAAGGGTATTAAATCCGACCCCTCCAATTATAGACCAGTTTGAGGGGGGGGGGGGGGGGGGGGGGAATCGTACATGACGTTGGGTGGGTGGGTCATATTTTCTTCCAAAACGCAGTTAGTCCTTGTGTACTAAGTGGTGGGTCTGCTGCTCATTTTCCACCAAAATCAGTTAGTACAAGGTACTAAGGGGGGTGTTTAACCCCAAAAAAAACATTTTACCTCAAATTTCAATTTTGGGAATGGGTTTTTTTGAGTTTTGAGGTTTTTTCCCTTTTTTTGGGTTTTTAAAAATTTTTTTCCTTTTTTTGTAACTTTTTATTTAATTCGACTACATTGAAAACAAAACCCTACTAAATAGTGGGTATAATTTGCCCATTTCCCATGTATAATGAGCTGTTTAGAGCAATTTCTGGGTGGGTATCTTATTTTATATACCTAGACACAGTTCGTACCGTGATTTCTCAACAGTTAGTACCGCAAAAGGGGGTGGGTGCCGAAAAATCAGTTAGTACCGTGAGGGTGGTGGGTGGGTCCTTTTTGTAAATTCCAAAACTGCAATTAGTCAACGTCACGTACGGCACTTAGTACCTGATCCACACAGGTACACTTTGCACAAAATACAAGTTGATGAAACATTGGTGAGAGCACATGTAGTAGATTTTCTAACATCGAATTTCCAAGCATCAGCATGGATTTGTTAAGGGTAAATCGTGTTTATCTAATCTTTTAGAGACATTCAACGATATTCTTGACATTTTAGATGAAGGTGCCCTGGTTTTCTATACTTTGATTTGGCTTTGATTTTAGTAAGGCTTTCGACACAGTCCCCCACTTTAGACTTCTGTTTAAATTGGAAGGCTTTGGTGTCAAAGGAAAGGTTTTAGATGTTATTAAAAAGATTTTCTAACAGACAGGACTATGAGAGTTTGTATAGAAGGACAATGGTCTGAGGTTAAACATGTTTTATCTGGTGTTCCTCAGGGGTCAGTTCTAGGCCCTCTCCTATTCATTCTGTATGTTTATGCAAATGATTTGTCTGACCTTGTAAAGAATAAGGTTCAATTATTTGCTGATGATCTTAAATTAATTGGTAATGCAGCTAACCACAGTAGTGTTGCTGAAGACATTGAAGAATTAGAAGTTTGGGAAAGTATTCGGCTTATACAATTTAATCCTGCCAAGTGCAAAGTAGTGCATATAATTAATTTTAACAACAATCCTATTTTAAATTATAAGGTATATGGTATAGAACTTGAAGTATCTGCACAGGAAAAAGATTTGGGGGTTATTACCCATAGCTCCCTGCTTTGGAACGAACAGATCAAAGCATGTCGTATGATTTGTTGGATTGTAAGGAATTTAGTTATCAGAGTAAAAGTTGTTATGATTGCTATATATAGCAATCATAACAACTTTTACTCTGATAACTAAATTCCTTACAATTCCTTACAATATATATATGAAGCTTTAATAAGACCTCATCTTGAGTATTGTGTCCAATTGTGGAATCCACCTGCGCTCATGGAAGTTGGGGGACTGTTTTGGAGCTGAAGAGCGTCCAGAGGCGGTTTACCCGTCTGATTGATGAGGTGGGTACTCTTCCTTACAGCCGTAGACTGGAAATCCTCAATTTGACAACGCTGGCAGAGTGGCGAATACGTGGGACTTCATAGAAGCTTTTAAAGTAACAAGTGGTTTGACTGATTATGGTCATGGATCGGGGATGTTTAGAATTAGCAGATCCGCGCCGGTCTTAATCTTGTTTCAAGCAACAGATGTAGTAGAAGTTTAACTAAAATCAAGAATATCCAGAAGTCTTTTCTCCCGGAGCAAGTTATTCCATATTGGAACAAACTGTTAACTTTATAGGAATCACAAAGCAATGAAACACCAGTTAGTACTAAGCAATTATCAAAACCACACAGACAACATGTTTGTGGTACATTCTGAAATAGAACACAATTAGTATATTATTATAATGATTTGCACTATTCATTTATAAAATATCGTACAAGATATTCGAAATTTGAACTGTTTACAACGTTAATTTTTTTTCTTGTTATGTTTCTTGATATGTTTCTTAGTTGCAAATTCTTAATATTTCGACTTTTATTTCTTAAAAGCCAAACTGAGATACATAGCCAAACTGAGATACATAGCCAAGCTGAGATACATAGCCAAGCTGAGATACATAGCCAAGCTGAGATACATAGCCAAGCTGAGATACATAGCCAAGCTGAGATACATAGCCAAGCTGAGATACATAGCCAAGCTGAGATACATAGCCAAGTCAAAGATAAATTTAAACTGACACTACCGTATCAGGGACAAAAGGAAATCGTGACATGTGCGGGATTGCGATTTTTCCCATTCTTTGCGACAAATTTTATATGTCGACTGTTTGGCTTATCGCAGTATCGCGATTTTTGGCCAGAATAATCGCGATTTTCTTTTGTCCCTGTACCGTATCGATGTATCTGTAATCTATTATATAATAATATATTTAATATTGCTCAGATTACAATTGGTCATGAAATTCCCCTGTACTGACTTTTTATTCCAGAACTAGTGTGATGTCTCTTACCATGTCTCTACGAAAAGCTCTTCAAACACTTCCTGCTCTTAGACACATGAGGTAATTGCAACATCTTACTTTACGTCCTCACCAAACATTTTAGGTATTTATTTTTGGAAAATCGCACTTCTGTAAGAATGATTTTATTAAATTCTGATAATATGAGCGCTGACGGCTGACCTTGAACCTGCAATAACACAGTAAGTCGGAATGATATGATTGTTAAGGTAGAAATCAACCAGTAGATCTTTCTCTCCTCTTGCAGGTAATATCGCAAGTCGCTGGATCCACTGCATTATTATATAATATATATAATGGCCTCCCTAGCTTGCCCCTTCAAATGCATGAAACAGTACTGCGCTCTTAGATATTGCACAATGTATTAGCATTTTGTTTACAGTTGCAAGCTGCAAACGCTGCACCCAAGTTATTAACTACGATATTATAGCCATTATAGAACAGCTTCCCAACATTGCTGCAATATGCTCAGTTATTTGCACCCCTTGCTTGAGAGAGACTGCAGGTATGTAGTTGGTTTCTATAAAAGAGACACGTTTTGAGTTCCATGCCTAAAAAATAATATACACCAAATATGGATTAATATATATCGATTCAGTCTGCAATTTACTTTTTAGCGCTGGTACCATGCGGCATTCTGCAAAGTGTTTTTTAATTTACTTGCTCCGGGAAAAATTAAGTAAAGTTTATTTTACAGTTTTTGAAGACGAAGTAGGTTTAAAGTATCCTTTTATTTAGTATACATTAAAAGTTTAAAGGTTAAAAGTGAAAACACCTGATATTATTAATTATTCATATCTTTACTCAGCACGGGATCTCAGGACCCGATAGCAGCCCTGTTCGCAGAGAAGCTGTCCCAATACAAGGCACTGGCAGTTGATAAGGGAGACATGGTTGACGTTAGCGAGAAGGACGTGGCCGAACAGCAGCTCCAGCTGGAACGTCTCAAGAAGATGTACATGGTATCGGGCGACGTGCAGTCCTTCCCTGAGGCTAAATTCTAGAATCTTCTCTGCTGTGTGTCATGTTGTAATTTATTGGCGAGATGCCAAGTGAGGAAAGTGGACTGTAGTGTAGCCAGCAAGGAGATCAGGTTTCAAAATATTTATCACGTTATCTTGAGGTGTTCTAGCTGGAATTTTGGTCATCATATTTTGTTCTGTAGGAAACTTACTTTCGTTGTTTGTTGGTAATACCTCATTTTTATTTCCATTACTTGTCTGATGCGATTAAGTCAATTTTTTTCCTAACTTATTTGTATAAATCACATTCGTAAGCTTATTAGGTTATTACGAATTTCATTGTTTTGAACGTGTATAAAAAGAAAGTCTGATCAAAGTTGACGCTCAAAATTTTGACATATTGACATTAGGAATCCAAATAACTCTAAATGTGATTGAAATGGACATGTAAAATGTAAATGTAGCGTGTAATATATTATTATTTCATTAATTAACGCTTTAATAATCTACGTAACTTTATTAAGCATGGAGGGGTTCTACACTGCCGAGACGTTGTTTCAGTTCGATGACCTGGACTTCAATGCCTCCAATACTATGGACAACCGTTAGTAAATCAATAAAATTATTAATAATTGATAATTATATATGTACAGTGTACACTAATTATGTTTTTAACTTATTAAGATATGTACATTAATTGTATTGTTAACTAATTATCCATGCCTCCAATATTATGACTAACCGTCAGTACATATTTTGTATCGTAAACATTCGTTACAATAATCTTATTTTGAGTAGCACTCCAGTACCATTTATAATTTGACGTAATGACTTCTTCAGTTGGCTATTCCGTTTCAATGAATGTTTCCTGTGAGAAATTATTAAAATTCCAAATGTTATCCTTTTCTTTGCAATAACTCATTATCATGGATATCAGCGATTTATCTCAATGTCCTTGACTACAAATCAAAAATAGGTAATTTCCTTGGAAAACATAGAAGTAAAACCATCCCCTCTCTCAGGTAAGATTGTGGCAGGAGCAGACACTGAAGAGGGACCGGACAAGTCCACAGTAGGTGATCTCATGATCAAGGAACCGGACCTCTTGACCCCTCCAACTACCACCAACATTGCTCTAGATAACAACAAGCACAGCGTCATCAACAACAACAACAACAGCAATAACAACAGCATTAGTAACACCCCTAACACACCAAGTGGCACGCCTATCACGGAACTGGATCACGTCACTAAGGCGAAGATCTTGGAACAGGTCGAATTTTACTTCAGCGACGCCAACGTCACCAAGGATAAGGAGCTCGCGAAGCAGATTCGTCGAAATGAAATGGGTTACGTATCAATAAAGTGGATCACGTCATTTCGCAAGATACAAGCTTTGACTCAAGATTGGAAAGCTGTTTCCAAGGTCCTGCAGGAGTCCACTCAGCTGAAAGTTTCGACGGATAAAAAGATGGTGCGTCGGAAGCACCCGATACCCAAGAAAAGTGACCAGTTTGCAGATAAAACAGTGATGGCCAGCAACTTGCCGCTCTCTGAACGTAGTGTTGATTGTGTGAAGGACTATTTTAAAGGATTTGGTCGGGTGACTCTGGTTAGGTTTTTGTCGCCAGGTAAACCGTACCCTGACGACATCACCAGTTTGCACTTACCAGGGTGGCGAGGCAGCCCCACCGCTGACATGGTTGCTGTGGAGTTTGAGACAGTGGAGGCGGCAGAGCTGGCTGTTCTGAAGCTGTCTGACAGTAACAACTGGAGGAGCTCCTCTCAAGTGCAGCTGTTGAGGACAAGACAGCAGAAACAGTTGGGTGCCGACAAGATAATGCATGGTCCCAAAGTAAGGAAGTCTTCAGAGCACTGTGCTATGGCGTACTCTCTGAACCACAGCACGGGCGTGCCACGTGACAGCAACGGGTATGGTATGGCAAAGAGTCTTCCAAAGCAAATGTTTGGAATGTCAATAAGTGGCACGTCACCCACTGCTGGCTCCTCGCCACAAAGTCACATCGTGAAACGCCCCGAGAAGTCTCCTCATTCCTACTCAAGCCGGTCCTCAGTCACGCGGTCTGGAACCGCAGGATCGTACAGCGACAGTTTCAGCTGCAGCCCCTCTGCTAATTCGTATCTGGGTCAGCGCCTTGCCCACGAGAAGAGTCACGCAAACGGCCCCGCCTTGATCGCAATGGTTTTGACTCGAGAACCTAGGGGTCCTGACGGGTCCAGGGGATTCGGACACCGTAATAACTGATAACGACAAATTCTTTTGTAGTTTAGGAGAAAACGCATGTTTTTATACGATTAAGAATTTGTAGGGCATTTTCGATTAAAAATGACGATTTATATGAACATATCCATCATGAACCATGTTATCAAATTGTTTGCAAGATTATTTGATTATGTTTCTGCCGCATTTTTACAAAAAAAAAAACAGAAGACTGACTAATTGTCAAAAAAAATGAAAAAGTAAGTATTTTCATTTCAAATTGTTCGAATAAACGCCAAAATTATTGTCACAATGTCGTACTTACACTGCGAGAAAAAGCAGATTGATTGTTTCAATTTTCAAAATGCTTAGAGTTTATTAAATTATTGCAGGCTTTTCAGATGTATCCCAATCTACTGTAGGTAATTTATTTAGAATTGTGATAGCAATTACCTTTTTGCAATGTTGAATATTTAAGAACAAATGCCATCATAATGATTCGAATTCGTGGATCAGTAAAACATTTGTGGCTAACTTTAATGCATTTTGTTACGAAAGGATCTTGACGTAAGGATTAACTGCTTCAAACGCAGAGTGCTTTTGAAAATATGTAATTTCGCGATCTTAAGATAATTTTCAAGAAGGACAGTGTACTATGTTGCCTGTAAATATGTGTTTTGAAAATAATTTCGTTTCATTTTACATAAACTCGTCTGGTTTTACGTGTCCTATGGTGATGACGATAAACTGTTTGAGATCTCTCGTATTGCTCGTTTTATTCGTTTTGTCGAATACAAAGGCCGACTGAAACGCGCACGGAAGTGTGCGCGCGCGCATTAATTATATTCATAATCTGCCCTGCATGCATGCATGATCTGGTTAGCTTTAATATTGCCATGTCCATTGCCCGTCCGCTTATTATCATGCATATGTGCACTTGGCAGAATTTTACGTAACAATATATTGCAAAGCATCGTTCTGATAGATATGGTAGTTAAAAATGCTACTTTTCTCCGAAAATAATGGAAGTAGTCCAAGATGTCTTGAAACAAAATCCATCGGGAGACGACCAACATAAACATCAGTTTCCTCTGAACCATCGAAACCGTTTGATCGTTATGTCCAAAACAATTAAGGAGGCAGGGGGCCGGGTCTTTATGAAATTTCGCTCGAAATTGATTTTTATATAGTTGTTTCTGATAGAGGGGAATGATATCTATCAGTTGCTTTTGGTCCCATGGGAAAATATTTTGTTAGCCGAATTTCAAATTTATCGCCAGTCTAACTCTCTAAGGTTTATTGGGCCGCGCTCAGCCTGTCATTCCGCCGAATCTCTATTTATGAACATAATAGCCTGAGGTCCCTAGGTAATCTAAGGTCAGCGTTGTAGCGCGATGCGTTACTGTGCCGCGCCGAGCTGCCATGAATTGACATCGTCAATTAAAGGTCAGCGCTCATGTGTAATACTACAATACTGCAATTGTATTGCGCGGGCGATTTTTAATTTTTTTGAAAACTGGCCACGGGCGTCGTAAATATTACTTATCAATCAATTACAATTCATTAACATTACCAATATTAAAAACTGTCCAAAATATCTAAGAAAGTATTCTCTAGTATAGCCAAAGGCCTCAAGATTTAAATCTATTTTTAATTTTTAATTGCATGCCCTGAAAATCGAGTCTAAAAATCTATCTTCTCCTACATTTTTTGAACAATCACCTTGAAACTTGATTGACGGTGTCAACCCATCGAGATCGTTGCTCTGCGAAATCTATCTTCTCCTACATTTTTTGAGCAATCACCTTGAAACTTTCATGATATGTTCTAAGGGCCATTTAGAAGATTCTGGTCTATCAGAATTTTAAGTAGGTAGTGCGCCATCGACAGTGAGCTGCGCGTGCCGACTGTAGGATGTTTTTTTTGTCATACGTTGTATGACCCGCCGCGCACGAAGTGCGCGGCTCCCCCTGTATCACCATAGTGAAACGACCGTGGGGGTCGCAACGTGATACAAGGTTTTTTAGCGCTAATTTCGGCCAGCACAATTTTCTTCAAACAAATAGATATTGAGTATCCTTCCCAACCTCCAATTGCAACAAAAATTGGTAAGCTTACTCATAGACTTACAAGGAAAGTGTCCGAAAAATATAAAGCATATCCAACCATCAGACATTATGTTACAGCTAAAAGCAGCGTATTTTGCCCCATTTTGATCACTATATCAACTCCGATATCCACCAAATTTTTCGGACAGTTGTGAAAGCCCTATTGGAAGGTCGTCGCCAATTTTCAGAATGATCTCATTTAAGGAACCGAAGATATATCCGAATAATACGTCAAAATACGACAAAAATCAACGAATTTGGTCAAATTACGCGACTTTTACAGCTACTTTTGCTCCAAAAGCCGCGCACCATCAAATATGGCACCTGGGCGAAACTCACTGATCTTTCCAAAAAGGTATGACAAATTTGGTATTGTGAAAATTCTCACAGTTTCTAGAAAACAGTGGTACAAAATTTTTTAAACTCCGAGCAAGTTTATTTTTATCGTGCACCCCCTATTTTAAGATAGGCCTTAGAAAATTTTTAATTCGTTTTTGAAAATCTTGGACCTCGTTTTTTGACGATTTTTCTTGTCATACGTTGTATGACCCGCCACGCACGAGTGCGCGGCTCCCCTGTATCGTAGAAACTATAGTGAAGCGACCATGGGGGTCGCACGTGATACAAGATTTTTCTACGTCCAAGATTTTCAAAATCGAATACAAAATTTTCTAAGGCCTATCTTAAAATTCTGATAGACCAGAATCTTGTAAATGGTCCTTACAACATCAAACATATCCTAAAAGTTTCAAGGTGATTGCTCAAAAAATGTAGGAGAAGATAAATTTTTAGACTCGATTTTAGGGCACGCGATTGAAAATCGCTCGCGCAATACATGCACAATACAATTACACATAAGCGCTGACCTTTGACAATTACTGAAGCTCCATGACCAAAAGCCGCGCGTCATTGAATATGGCACTTACAACCTAAGCGAAACTCTTTAAAGCGCGATGCACCACTGGGCCGCGCCGCGCATCCACTAATGCTTCTTGCAAGATCGGTAAAATGAACCATTGGGCCTTGCCGAGCTGCGAAGGATTAATATCTGATATAGATATTGTAAATTAACGAAACTCACAGATCATTCTAAAAAGGTATAACAAATTTGGTATTGACTATTGTGAAAAAGATTTGAATCACGTCGTGCGACTCGTGACTCCCATTTAGTCAGTTAAGTGTCAGTTAAGTGTAATAAGCGCCAAGCGCGAGCACAGAACTTTTTTTTCCGATTTCAATAAATTTAGTACCAAAAGTTGTTTAAAATGTGAATAAAATAAATTCACCGTGTATCAATTTTTGCTAAAAATGCTACACAGCGCTTGTTCGCCGCGCGTGCTTTTTTGCGCAAATTTTTAGTTTTTGGCCTATAACTTTCACAATTCAAGCTCATTAGTATTACGATCCTGTAAGAATTATTTCAAAATATTTAATATTTTAGGAGTTATAGGCATTTTATGCAATAAATTAACCATTTTTCGTCCTTTGTACACTTTTGCAATGCACAGGAGGCTCACATACATTTCGACGTTATCGTGCTACACGGTGAATTTTCATTATTCACAGTTAAAGGCAACTTTTGGTACCAAATTTATCAAAATCAGAGACAAAAAATTCTTTACCTGGGGACCTCAGGCTATTATGTTCATAAGCTTACTCATAGACTTACAAGGAAGCTGTCCGAAAAATTTAAAGCATATCCAACCATCAAACAATATGTTACAGCTAAAAGCAGCGTATTTTCCCCCATTTTGATCACCATATCAACTCTGATATCCACCAAATTTTTCGGACAGTTGTAAAAGCCTTATTGGAAGGTCTTCGCAAATTTTCAGAATGATCTCATTCAAGGAACTGAAGATGTGGCAGAATAATACAACAAAAATCAACGAATTTCGTCAAATTACGCGACTTTTACACCTACTTTTGCTCCAAACGCCGCGCGCCATTAAATACTACTATTACTATTAGGCCAGGGGTGATTCGGAATCAGCGTCTGCAGTCTGAAAATATATTATATCGATTCAAGTTTGAATTTGGTTTCAACTGTCGAACTTACTGGGCCGCGCTCAGCCTGTCATTCCGCCGAATCTCTAATATGAACATGATAGCCTGAGGTCCCCAGGTAACTGTCGAACTTGTAGCGCGATGCACTACTGGGTCGCGCGCGCATCAAATAATGCTTCTCGCAACCACAGATCGGCGAGATGCGAAGGATTGACATCGTGAATCAACTGTCGAACGCGATCGAGTGATCGACGTGACGGGGGCCTTTTTAGAACAATTTCGAAAATCGAGTGTGGAGACTGGAGTGTAAAATGATTTTACCTGGTAATACTAATGGACCCCAGGCTATTATCAATTATGTTCATAAAAATAAACGAATAGAGATTTGACGGAATGACAGCTGCTGAGCGCCGCCCAGTAAAAAATGATTTAGCACATAGCACGCCTGTTTATTTTTATCGTGCACCTCCTACTCCTAGTTAGGGTTGTGGTTAGGGTTATGGATAGCTTCGGGGTTATGATTAGGCCTAGGGTTGGGCCTAGGGTTTATGTAAAACCGTAATGTTCGGCTGCAAAACCATAAAAACCAAAGTCACGGGATAATTTTTGGGCGAGCGATTTAATAAAAGTTCATGTCGTTAGTCGGCGTCGAGCCTCAAATTTAATTAAAATTCAATCCCATCACGTTGTAAAGTGAAGGTCCTCCATTGGTTTAACAGTTTCTGGCACTACCTCATCCCCAGAATCAGGCATCACGTATCATGGCACTGAGACTCTAAAGTGACACGTCGTCGTCCAATCCCTAGACCTACAGTTATTGGTCAGACTGACCGCTGGCGCTAGTGGCCGCTACTGATTAAAGGAAATTATCACAGCTGATAGAATGATTTAACTCATTGTTGTAACGTAACGTCCTTGTTAAGGCCAAGGGGACTGGGTGAACTGACTGTGATACCGGACGGAATGATAGTGGAAGTTGCATATACTGCTGATTAAACTGGTAGGTTATCCTCCTTACTGGTGAACCTTAATACTTAAAGTTTGAAACAAAGGTAGAGCATGGCGAACCTTTTTTTTTAATGAAGGCCATTGAGATGTTATAAATTTGCCTAACAGTATTCGGTATTCAATGGTTATTAATATTAAGAGTGAGCAGGTTGAATAAAGAAATTTAGTGCAAAATTACGAAGCCTAGAAAAAGGAGAGTCACTTAAATCAGCAACGCACCAAATATTTAATTATGGTCAGAATCCATCTTCGAGTTTGTTTCGGTATTCGTGACTTATCATAACTTGGGATATATGAGTGTCATGTACGAGTAATGCAACATCTCGGACTAGATGAGGCCAGTGATTGGACAAAGACAAATAACCATCAAGCATGCATAAACATAAATTATCAAACCCTTCAATTTTACTTCAACACACCAGCTGAACTTAGTCTAATACAATTTAAATTGTGGAATCCTCATTAGCCCGCAGATTTTACTTTTTCAGATAGAGGCGATCAGTTGTATATAATTTGCATGAACATGAGATATACAATTTATTATGCTGTAAAGGCATATTGGCCCAAACTACTGTATTAATTATA